CAGGTCAAACTCGGATCATATATGCGTTCAACAAGGTCACAACTTGTACGGTCGGCCATTTTCGGATAGTTATGGAACCTCACATTCATTGTACGGTTTTACCATACAAACCTATTTATTAGCTTACTGGTATACCCGCATAAATATTCCGCTACACAATTTCGACGACTTTATCTTTTTAATAACCCTACTTGGGTAGTAACTTGTTTGCGATCCCATGTTGTGGATTACTGACCATCCCTTTTATGACGGAGTTAGCCTGTGTCAGAAAAAGGTCACACGATAGTTCTTTAGTCCGTTTGAAACCATATTTTTGCTCTAATCATGCTAAATGCTTTGCTCTCAACTATTCCTTATAACGTATTCAGACTACAAACTCCGGCAGCCAATGTAGTTTTTGCTGTGTCTCAGTGGTAAGTCACTGCTGCATATATCCTGATCCTCCAAAGTTGTCAAACCACACAGTTCTTCAGAGTTACCGTTCTGTTCCAGGCTAAAGTTGACAGTTTGACATTTTGAGAGATTAAGTGTGAGACCATTAACAGCAGAACAATGTTTAATGAGAGACAGGAATCCATTCATTTCAAGGGGCTGTGGAGAGTTAGAAATCAGCACACATTCAGTGAGATCGTCCGTATGTTTAACAAATGTATTTTTTGGAAGATGGCATATCATGCGGAAAAAAAGGGAAAAGAAGAGGGGAAAATAGCTTCATGTGGAATACCACGAGTTGGTAGAGATGCTGAACATTTGTAGTGACTCACGTTTATCACGAGAACACGACTGGTTTAATAAAAACAATTATTATTATAACCAACTGTACCAGTGTTTGTTTTAACGTGCTTTTGTTTGACTGTACTAATGACAGCTTTTTTGTGCTTCCATTCTTATACTTACACTTCAATTGCAACTTCGCGCGAATTCGGTTACCTTCTGTAACCAAGCTTGTATCCTGGCACGATCTCGGTATCCTTTCGATGCCACGAGATCGCCAGCAAATATAACTCGAGTTGGTCCATTAATTTCCTTCTGATATTTGGCTTCTCGGGGATTTTATGGAGTCATTTGGAACGAGCTTCTTACACCTGATCTAATTGGCACGTGTTTCTTGGTAGCGGTGTTCATAGTTAATCTCAACTCGACCTCACGCTACAATTGGTGACCCCGTATTTTGGAACACGCCTCAGCTTCTGGTCAAATCTTCCAAAGAAGCCAATTCGGTGAGTCTATGATTTATCTATCCACGTCTGTCGTATATTTTCATATTTTTTAATATATAATATACGCGACATGACGGATAGCGGTAAGAATAGTATTAATATAATAGACTCACACGTATGTGTACCGAATCCTTGTCACTTTTTATTCGCGTGATGATGAATTCCACGCTTTATTCGAGAAATGTTTCCCTATTAACGATTCTCCTCGCTGACCCGGCTGCTTGGTACGGAATGCATACGCATAAGCATATCCGTCTACCACCCAGCACCAAATGGTTAAGTTGAACGGTTTCATTGCCAACTTAAAAGTGCTCTACGAGCACACGAGAACGACAACTGGTACGAAACCTTATCGCTCGTCCTCTTAGGTATTCGAACGAGCTTGAAGGCAGATATACAATGTTCCGCCGCTGAGATGGTATACGGCACGACATTGCGTCTGCCCGGAGAATCCTTCACACCACGGAGCAGACCTAATTTCGGTAAATCAGACAACGTCCGTCGACTGTCTGCATTTATGTGAACGCTGTCTCCGGTGTCAACTCGAATACAACATCGACAGGTCGCTCTCCGTCGAGAGTTATCTACCTGTTCACATGTTTTTGTACGAGTAGATTCGGTACGCAAACCTTTGCAACAACCTTACGAAGGCCCTTTTCACGTGATCGCTCGTCACGAAAAGACCTTCAAGGTTGATCGACATGGACGCGTCGAGATCGTCAGCATTGATCGTCTCAAACCAGCACACGTCGATGACAGTGCCCTATCTGATAACCTGAGATTCAATGCTAGACCTACCAAACCTACTAGCGGGATCCTCAAACCATCTTCAGGTCCCACGCTAGATACAACTGAGACCTCACTCTCACGTCCCAGTCAACAGCACGCGTCATCTGCACCGTCTACGGACGAGACGACAGTCTCACGTCCAGATCAGCAGACCACGCCACCCTTCACTTCGGATGAGATTGCAGGCTCACGCGACGCGAACGAGACTATCGTCTCACGTTCCGGTCGCCGAGTACGGTTACCCGCACACTTCCGCGAATAGTCGCACAGTCAACAACCGATACGGTGTAGGATTATTCCTATACTACACGTATGCTACACTCTTCTTCTTTTTTGATTTTCTTTTTGTTTCCTGAGCCCACGCCTTCGACCATCTCCGCTTGGTTCCGTCGACTTCAGTCAACTTTGGCGAAAGCTGGCCTGATCACCCATGCTCTTGTCAACGCACTCAGTCGATATATTGGTTTCGAACGCTTGGCATACGCTTGGTCTCGAACTTGGTCGTTACGGTCGCTTCTGGTCTTTTGGCTCAACGTGGTTTCGTCCTTCGTCTGCAGCGTTTCTGGTCCGCATTCCCTACGAACGCCCTCTTCAGATTCTGGATACAAACCACTCTGGTGTAGCATGCCAACTCGAGCAATCAATACAACACATCGCTCCTGGTACCGTTCTCCGAAAACGACCTTCGTTGGCAACTCGACGATCAACGATCGCTTTCCTGTTCGCCAATTCTTCCGTCCTACAATCGCTCGTCAGCCGATCAGTCCCACGATTCAAACCGCTTTTTATCGAAAGTGTAAACCCTTTCTAGCGGGGGGCTCCTGTAGTGACTCACGTTTATCACGAGAACACGACTGGTTTAATAAAAACAATTATTATTATAACCAACTGTACCAGTGTTTGTTTTAACGTGCTTTTGTTTGACTGTACTAATGACAGCTTTTTTGTGCTTCCATTCTTATACTTACACTTCAATTGCAACTTCGCGCGAATTCGGTTACCTTCTGTAACCAAGCTTGTATCCTGGCACGATCTCGGTATCCTTTCGATGCCACGAGATCGCCAGCAAATATAACTCGAGTTGGTCCATTAATTTCCTTCTGATATTTGGCTTCTCGGGGATTTTATGGAGTCATTTGGAACGAGCTTCTTACACCTGATCTAATTGGCACGTGTTTCTTGGTAGCGGTGTTCATAGTTAATCTCAACTCGACCCCACGCTACAATTGGTAATCCCAATTCGAATACACATTTTCCTCCATACACGGTGAGCTGTCCTATCCCAGAAAGGCAGGAACGGAGTCATTTAGATACCCAGCTGTCGGAGCTGACGTTGACCTACTTGTTAAGCGGCACTTATCTTGCAATCGAGACAAAAGTAGAAGTATAGTCTAGCAATTTACCCCCCACTTTCTTCAAAGTTGAACATTATATCATGATACAGAACATGAACAACACCCTAGGTACTTCTTTTGCATTGATGAGCAAACTGATATTGATCAGTATACTCTTTCAGCCTACGTTGAAGTGAGTGGCAATAATTTTCTCATTATTTTGAGAGAAGGTGAAATTATTGCTATAGTTCTAAATTTCAAATTCTTATAATCAGTTATTCCTTAGGTATTGGGATCATTTTTATCTTTCTCCGCATTTTCGGATGGTAAATATTAAAACCTTTTAGTGATGCTAAACAATCGTCTTGAATTGTGATCACGCCGCAGTTACGATACGTGCTTGGACATTGTAGGAATTGAAGATAGTCCACTTTGTCAAATAATAGTTTGCAGTTAGAAGTTAGCTGTTCAGGAATCGACATCTGAATAATGTTCATTCTCTTCAGTGCATATCGCCAGTCACAAAAATGACTCTGATTACACTTTTAATATCATGTAAATTGATGAGTCATATGCCTTTCGTATACATACCTCAATAGATCATGCGATTAATATACACAATGGTGTGTTAAATCAAGCAATAAAGGCAACTTATCGAAATATCTGGAAGGTAGGAATGTTTCCCGGTTATTCGAGTAGGTCACCTCAAATGTTGAATTGGGTAATCTAATCCTTAGAAAGATTAGGGCACGTTCTTTTCTTCGCTCTGATAGCAATAAATCGCTTGCTGAAACAGCAGTCACTACCTTTGATCTGCGTCGGTAGATGTTAAAGTAGATTCTCGTTTTGTAGATAACGACATTGATACTCACTATCAACAGATAACAAAAACATTGAACACCATTTTATTTGGACTATTGGTTGTTAAGTTTGTTATTGAGATTTACGAAGCTTGAAGCTGAAAATTTAGTTCAGAACCGATTCCTATAAGTGTATGAAAGATTACTGACTAGAATGCGAAGATTTACAAGGAAATTCTCAAATAGCTGAAAATGTCAAGATCAGATTTCTAGCTTCCTCTGTGTTGTGCTAGTTACAGATAGGAGAATGAAGCCACTGAAGTTTCTCACGTACTAAGTATTTTAAGTCTGAACAAAAGGCGACTCAACATAAGATTAACATGTGGATCCACGAAGCGGAACTTGTAGGGTTGGTCATCGGAAAGAAAGCATTCACACATAATTCCATTGTCTTACTATTATTTCGTGCACAGTGGAATGCTTGAAACGTTTTTTCGGTCAAAGATCTATCAACCTGGGAACTTCTAAGAAGCCTGAGCATCTGTTGTGTCCTTGGCGGAACCTTTTTTGTCTATGATAAATCTACTTACTCACACAAGAAATTCCAACCTCCAAGATGTTAAATCCATTCGTAATATTGCAGTCTAGTTTCTAAAACACCCATGTAGAACTAGTGAAAATCAAAATCCGTGGTTAAAAAAATGATATATGACTGCGAAAAAAGAAAATCTGTATACATTTATTCATCACAAACATATTGGATGTTGAAGGAAGGGAGTTCAGACACAGCAGTGGCTGTCAGATGAGTCAAAACTCAAGGTCGTCCCTAGCTAGAACAATTAGCAGGTCGACGAAGCATGGAGAAACAGATATTTGGATTAAAATTCGCTGCAAAACAAATGCAACGTTGTGCAATTCGTTGCAACAAAGACGAGGTGGATTCTAAGAATAAATTAAAGGCTGCTATCAAGAAGGGGGACCATGAAGGTGCAAGAATCCATGCAGAAAATGCGATTCGACATAAGCACACCGCAACCAGCTATCTGAGACTTGCTGCGCGAATCGATGCTGTTGTCTCTAGGGTTCAGACAGCCATGACTACCAAGAATTTTACTAAGAGCATTATGACAGTTGTCAATTGTATGGAAAATGCAGCCAAGTCTATGGATATGGAAAAGGTTAGCTGTCTCATGGATAAATTCGAAAGAGAATTCGACAACATGGATATACAGTCAAAGGTTTGTTTGGTTATTTATGTTAGACTCACTTAAATAGCTTGTGAGCTCCTCGCTAGCCAATGCGATGTCCATTTCAACTCCTGAAAATGAAGTTCAAGGACTGATAAATCAGGTAGCTGACGAAACTGGAATAGAACTGAACTATGAACTCCCTGGTTCTACTCACGGTTCAGTTTCGGTGGCCCCTATTTCAGCGGAGGAGGAAGATGGTCTCACGCAACGCTTAGCTAGACTTAGACAATCGTGAGATATTTTTTATTCAGCTGGATTTGTTTCACTTCATTTATTTCCCTTGATTTAAACTTGAGATAACCTAACTTTGCGTTTGTAACCTGTTTTGTTGACTTTACTTGAACGTAATTTGTATTTATGAACACTACTTCAAATCAAGAGTGCATTGTGATGTTTCTTTTGGTGTTTTAGAAATTATGATTTATTTTTAAAGCTACATTATATTCTTTCCATCAAATTTGGCCAAGTTTGTGGCCTGTTTAGGTCGTTGGGGAGATGAGTTCCACGATACTAGGTAAACAAAACAAGCACTTTTGGACGCTACATGGTTGGAATGTTGTAGACATGAACTTATTTGCTTATATTTATTTATTTAAACAAACACTGGTAGAAGAGGGCACTGAATACATATGCGCCACACAAATAATTAGATTCTCATGAAGGCTGGAATACCACCCAAGTGCCCAAAGCGAAGCAGGTGGTTTTCTTGGGGGTGGAGGGCACTCCTCAAGCCCTTGACCTAAGGGTCTAATCCACAGAGTGGTGGAGCAACGTATGGAGATGCAGTCCCATAGTAGTCCATGATTAACAATTGATTCACGCGCCATTTGTTACTTTGGGATCCTGGAGCACATGTCCACTATTGGTTTTGGAATGAGGGTTTTCCAACTCCCCTAGGTTTATCCTCCATATCCACCCACCCGGTTAAAGCGTCGGACATTCGTTTTTCATCCTCTTGATTTTATAAACATCACCCCTTTAGCGAGATGGCAGTGAGTTGGACTTTCCTGATAGTGGCTGTATATGCATGACCATGTGAGAGCATTTAGAGAGAGCTAACTCATATGTCTAACCAGCTTCTTCGGTGCCCTGTGGTTGCTGATACCAATGCAGGTTCGAAAGTGCCAGAGGTTTGGCGAGTCAGGACATTTTCCCATGAAATCGTTGAGTTGGTTTGAGCCATGTCGTTGGGTACAGACTTTCTCATTGGAGTCCGCATAGAATTCGTAATCACCTGTTAGGGATGTTGGATTACATAGGACAAAATGGTGCAGCTAAACTTAATGTCCATCTCTAGTTCAAATTCGAGTTAAATATCACTTATTAATTTATTCTCAACTGTATGGACTTTAATTCTCATTTCTAGGTTTCCATTGCTTACGATATTATTTCCCGCCGTGTGTTTTTCGTCCTAGTTAATGTCTCCGAGCTATCGTGAGAGACGGCATGCTTTATCTTCAAGGAGTTCATTTCTCTGTTTTTCATCTCTTTACCATCACTGATACCGTAGCATTCGTATAAATAGTGTCATCCCACTTTGTTGGTGTGGTATGACAGTTTGAGCCAATATCACAAGTTTGCCAGATTCTTACTGTATATATGACTAACTAGTTGGCTGTCATTTGTTGATATTGCACCACCATCATCCATTTCCATCAGTAATATTTATCCTATACCCAACATGATTAGATTCCATCAATCACTGCTCCTTGTTACGGCTTCGTCTTTCCGCTAGTTGGCACATTATTATTGTTATCATGGGAGGTTTGCGGAGATTTCTTAATGTTATGGAAACTATTATGCATTTAATATCCAGTGCCACTATGTTATGAACAAACGTTAAGAGTTCCACATTCTATAAAGAAAGCTTCGAAAGACAAAATGGTTGTTAAATCGTTCCATAATTCTTGTATAATATTTTTAAAAATCTTTACGAATTTAACGGCTTAGTATTTCAGAAAATATAAGTACGGCAATTAGTAAGAGATGACAACCCAGCCCCAAGCTTATATGTACTTATGTTGGGGATTTGTAGTTCGTGTATACTGTTAGTCTTGTTGTGTTTATTTTTTGCTCAGGGTAGTCTAACTGCGAAGTTTATATTGTCCTTCTCAGCCAGTTCTGATTACTCTGACTATGAATGACTTTTGTTTGTCCTAGTGTTCCTGTTGAAGCACTTGTTCTTTTCTGTTCAAAAGGTCAGACAAACTAATCAAAAGAACTAAACAGACTCGTCATATAATGACAGATCACAAGACACGATCATTGGTGAGTGAGATGCAATAAACCCATCAGTTATCGGTTCTACGGCAGCCGGGAACTACGTATATTAGATACCTCGTATCATCGGTTGTGTCACTCCCGGAAATTCCAGCCTACATTTCATCTTGAGAACTTAACAAGGTGTTACTATGCCACATAGTAATAATATTATTATTTGCGCAGATGTTAACGTTACTGTAATGCCTGCTTCTAATTTATACAGAGCATCAATCTGTCGTGACACAATCCTTTGCCTGATGTCAGATAGAACTACAATCTAAGTTACATAACTTCTAACCGGTTACTTTGAATTATCTAACGTTCATTATACTATTCTCGATCGTCTGAAATTAGAAGACATGCATAAACCACGGGTTTTACTGGTACATCCTGTTCTCTTTTGCTATTGACCTTAATAATTCCATCTTGTCGTGCCAATGTGATACGGGACACTATTGAAGATGGAACAATCAAACATGAAACGTAGAGTACTATTTAGGCGACGTAAACCTGTTAGGGAAAAGACCACTTTTTATCAACAGAAGTAGCTGAAATATGCTACAAGTATCTAACCACGGTGTATATGAACACGCTATACTGCATAGTGTACGAATATGTTAGGAAAGCCGGCGATTAGAACGAGAGCATTAGTATATGATACCATTAATTCGTTTAAGCCGTAATCAATAGTTTTAGTCATTTAAGTGGTGCTGTACTTTATCAGTCGTGATAGCTTAGTTGTACAAATTCCAAATCTTGAACGTATTTCGTCTACTTTCATTCACTGATTTTTTTAGTCATCAGCACTATTCTACAAAAATTGTTTTATGCATATTGTATGTTCCATGTTCCGTGCATTTGTAAAAATAATTTTTATAGTCGAAAAACAATTCTTTACAATCATTGCTTTCATGTGACGAAGTATTTGCATTGTATGTGTATAGGGTTTCACTGTAATGTTTAAAATGTTTTCTTTCGCTTTACAATAAGACGTTTGTCAGTAATAAAGTAATTTTCAATATTTTTAGTAGTTGAATCCACGAGTCAATTGAAGCTAGACCACCATTGATAACTTGGAAGCATCGAACGGCCGTTTCGTCCTAGTATAGGACTCCTCAGCAGTGCACATCCACGATCCCGCCTCGCGAGATTCGAACCCAGGGCCTATCAGTCTTGCGTGCAAGCGCTTAACCGCCCTCTAATTATAATTGTCAATATGCCTATTTTTTCTGATGACCATTTAGTCAGTATAGATGGTACATAAATTTGTTTAAAAAATTCAGTTTATTACCTCTCTAAATATAACACTATATATATCGTTAAAGCCTCGGAAGAATAAAATTTATCATTTATACAATAAAACGCTATAGAATACTAAATATTCCAACTTCTATTACATTGGATTATTGTTCGGGATATAGCAACTATCCTACAACCAAAATCCATTATGATTAAGCCGTTTTTATTAACTTACTTAAAAGAAAATTTATTTGGACAGTGACAATTCGCATATTTCTTTGTACAGTTATGATCATGAGATCAAATGATAGACTACAGCTAAAATGTTGATTGCTTAAACGTCACTCGATAATTCATTCTCTTCCCCATGTATATATGTACTCAAATCCTATTATTAATCCTTGCTTTGCCTTGTTGCGTCCTTATACAATTTGACTATTAATTTGCCTATGTAGTTGCTCGCTTGTAGCTCTGTGATCTGTGCTATCCCCTAATAAACTGCAGTTGTGCTTCTCATTGCCTTCTGATTTTAAACACCTTTAAGGTTTACATAATAACGGTTACAAGCGTGATTGATTAACAAAGCAAAGCCACTCCAGAGAGTCGTATGTTGAAGTCTGAATTCACGGTTAGATCTCTTTTTATTTTTGTTTGCTATTAGGAAAAGTGATCAAGTGAAACATTGTAAATATTGTTTATTTGGTTATACACAAGATGTATCTTCCATTAAATGATAATATGTTGTTAGTTCACTTGTAACTGTTTATTAATTTTTTTGTTCACGTCATAACAGACAACAATTAGTCATTAGCTAACAGTCAATCCCTTATAGTCCGGTTCTTTGTAATGTAATTTGTTATTCAAGCATCTAAGTTTATTTATTGAACTTTTCGTCACATACGATTAACGTGTCATCTATGTATCAACAGTAAAAATCTAGCTTACTTAGAATGTCTTTCAACAGGTCCATTTTCTAGTTTTTCCAGAAAATACTTAAAAAATCACATTGCATGATGCTGCATTTTGGAATTAGAAAAATTTAGAAATTAGCTAATATTCGTATCTTTTCTAGAAGTTTTTAGAAAGACTACTGCATAACTATACAGAACCACAGCTTCACATGACATCATGATTAGATAGAAGGAAGTAAACGATGAACATTTACATAAAGTTGACATATACGTTTAGAAGTCGATCAAATGAAGAAATGGACAGGTACAAATATACTAAATCACATAAACATAGCATCAGAACCTTACCACTAAAATACATGGATTCGGTTATGTTGATTTTCTTCATACCGATATTTACTGGTATCTCATTTCGATATTGACTACGTTCATCTTGTCATTGGTTGGTTGATTAATGTCTTGTTAGACAAAATAGTAAATAAACTTAAGGTGATATGTAGGAAAACATAATCTTGAATAAATATTAACATGACTAATTCTTAAATTCATTTGGTATTGTTTATTTGAATCTTCCCATTGATGCTTAAGACTGCAATTGATCAGTCTCTCATTGGCATATATGCATACTGTGCGTATTGCATTGATATTACTTTAATCCAAAAGCATTATATGCAAAGATGGATAGTGGCTAGCAGTGGAATCCAGGATGCACGTTTCGTCCTATATCGAGGTAATACACACGGTATACACATATGCCAATAAGAGACTGATCAATTGCAGTTCTAAACATCAAAGGGAAGATTCAAACAAACAATACAAAGTG